GACGGATTGTGTTACAGTCTGTGAGAATGTGTGGTGACTGTTCGCGCTCGTTTGTGTGGTTTTGAATATTATGAGATAATATTCTTAAAGTGGGGGGCAGTGTCACAGAACGAGCGCTAAACAAGAGCGCGCCGCCAAATCCTTGCGACAACGGGCGGCAGAAACGCCGCGAGGTAAAAAGAAAAGAAAAAGAAAGCAAACATCCAGGGCTCCCGGGCGCGCGCTCTCCCCGCAGATGCACGGCTTCGCAGACGATCCTCCTCACCCCACATCTGCGGCCCAGCAAGACCGCGATTTCTCTCGAACGAACGGGGCGGGGTCAGACCGAGCTGAGTCATCCGACGCGGAGGGCAGACAACCGTCTCGCCTCTCCCCAGCCTTCGCTGCGTATCGCGCCGACGAAATGACGAGAAAGATCTGGAAAGTCGCGCGCAAGGTATTTAACCGAGCAGCCGAGACGAGAAATCAGGAGGAGACGGAAGTTAACGCCGGAGCGCGTAGGAATTCCGCCGTGTAGTCGGCGAAGGTTCTGCCCGTAGTGACAGGACAGGAGGAGACGGAAGTGAGCGCCAGAGTGCGTAGAGAGTCCGCCGTGTAGTCGGCGAAGTTTTTGGTCCGTAGGGACGGCTCGAGCTACAGGCAAGAGCGTGGGTTTTCCGCTATCGAGCGAAGACGCGGGCAACAGCTGCGTGTGTGAAGCCGACGGATTTCCGGCGAAGAAGTTGAAGTTGGAAGAGTGGCCAATTGAAGACGGGAGGTTTCCTGGAAGAGAACTTCGAGAGCTGCGGAACGACAACAACGCTGGACTTTGAGTGAGTGATTCTCGGAAGAGTATCATTCAGACTTTTGTTCCAAGGACTTTGGACTGACTAGGTTTTATATCTCTTTGGTCTTTAAGTGTCTTGGTGGTTCAATGCATGCGACTGCATTGTAGTGCGTATTGTTGTCTGTGTCCGTTGTTTCAAGTGTGGTTGATTGTACTGTGTAGTACATTGTTTGTTTGGTGACGTATTGTATGTAACTATTGTGGAGGGTGCATACGTGTGTATTGTGTTTTGATCTGCCGTTAATGAGAATATAATTTTGTTTGTTTATCAACTCTCGGCTCTGTCTTGTTCTTTGGGCCACAGCCGGCGTCCGCTGGCGCACCAATAAGGACCACTTCTAAATTGTCCACGCTTTCGTGGTGCGGTTCGGGGGGCCGATACTTCGGCTCTTGGAATTAGCCCGGCGATCGCCTCCCTAATAACGGGACAGGTGTGACAACTTAAGGGCTCGTTTTTTGTGTTTACACATTATTAATGAGATCTAACAGACAATAATGTCAAGGAAGGTATAGGGGAAGTTATTAGGCCAATTGCAATGTAAATCAGAAGAAAGAAAAGTGATTGATTGATTTGTGGGGTTTAACGTCCCAAAACCACCATATGATTATGAGAGACGCCGTAGTGGAGGGCTCCGGAAATTTTGACCACCTGGGGTTCTTTAACGTGCACCCAAATCTGAGTACACGGGCCTACAACATTTCCGCCTCCATCGGAAATGCAGCCGCCACAGCCGGGATTTGATCCCGCGACCTGCGGGTCAGTAGCCGAGTACCTTAGCCACTAGACCACCGTGGCGGGGCAAGAAAGAAAAGTGGGCGAAAAGATAACATGGTATATATGTATATATATATATATATATATATATATATATATATATATATATATATATATATATATATATATATATAGCAAAGAGAGAGAAAGAGGCATCTTTCTCTCTCTCCTCTTTGATTTATGATTGTATAAAGCTGAGAACCAACAAACTGTACCCTCAATGCTGATGAAGGCCAGACTCTAGACCGAAACGTCGAAATAAACCACGTTGTGACCACTCACGGAAGGTCTACTTGACTACTTGCAACGCTACGGCCACTCAACCACCATGTCTGCCTATATATATATTATATATATATATATATATATATATATATATATATATATATATATATATATATATATATATATATATACAGGGGGGGGGGTCATTGCTAAATAAACGTTCAGCTAGCTGCCATAGTAGCGCCCTGTGGTGCGTTCTTCTGAAGTCTGCGCTATTATAGTTCCTTTTTGCCATCATGAACCTAATAAATATAAGTATCCGCTTGGAGCACTATATTATCACCAGCCTATCTAGAAGTACCTTCAAACACAGTCCGACCATATTCTCTGAAGGTTCGTGCACAACTACAGAATTATCGAAAGTTTATAGGCAACTCAACGGCCAGATAAATCGCTCTCGAGTTGTTGGGGATGCTGCGTTTTCTTTAGCAACGACTCCCGCCCCGTGCTCGTCACATCAGCAGCATACGTACCGTGGAAAAAGGCAGCACCGTGAATCGTTTTACGCCGCGGCATTGGGCACCACTTTGGCGATTCGAACAAGAGAATATACCTCACGCGCCGCCAAGCTCTGCAAGCCGTGTGGATGACCGTGAAAGCGAATTCACAAAGTGGCGCCTGGGGTGCACATAAACGGACAATGCCCGTCTTGGCGCACGGGCTTCGCTCAAGAGTGCCCCGCAGGTTGCCGCCGATTGCACACTAATGACCGGCACTTTTTCTTCTTTCGTTTCAGTGGCGAGGCAGTGAGTTGTAAAGAGCCGTTTTTTGTGGTATAGCAGTTCAGCTATAGAGCGGCAGTGTGCTGTTTCCTGACAGTTTGAACGTGAACTGTGTTCCAGCAAACGCAAATGCTTTTGCAGAATGCCCGCAAGGCCCGCCTACCGGACGATAGTGTCACGAGCACTTCGTCAAATCACAATGTCCGGTATACATTTGTTTCAGCCGAGTGTTCTGAATAAATACAAGCTTCGAGTGGTAACACAGTCGAAGGAGGAAATAAGAAAGGAAGGGAGATCAGCCAGACGCGTTTCCGGTTTGCTACCCTACATATAGGGTGACGGAAAGGAGGAATTAAAATAAAAGCGCATTAATGAAAGAAGCAACGCATGTCACAGTACATGGGCGCTTGTCTATAGAACGCCTAAAAGCGGTCGCTTAAACTTGTCGATTTTAGAAACCGCATTATTAAGAGTTATGCAGATGCCGAATACTTACCTTAGCAGTGACGTCAAACGTTTGTTAACTGAAGTATAGTTTTGTACCGTGGCCTTCGTGATTAGCTTCACAAAACAACGGTGCGTTGCCGGAGCTAATCGCGAAGGCCACGTCTGGACTTGCCTGGTTGATCTCTGTCACACCAGATGGCAGCATATATACGTCCATCCGTTCATGTTTACGGCTAGGACAAGTCGAGAACAGGACAAAACATAATTATAGCGCAAAAAAAAACCGACACATTTACTCTCTCGCACACAGCCAGACGCCTGGGTGTGCATGTGCTACGTCACAAAATTTGGCGACCTGTGACGTCATAACGTAACTCGTGTTTACGGCGACGTTGACTTTTCGCGTGGATGAATCGTGCAGAGCTTTCGCCTTAAAGACAAACTAGTCATGCTGTTGTCGCCGTACACCTTGCTGTTGCTTTCCTCATAGCAAACGCGCCCTCTTATCGACACCAAACTGTACTTGTACTAGAAGAAACACGTCGCACCAACGCTTTGAAGATCTCCAAGCGGTGCTGCATATATGGTGCTGTAACCAGTACGTCAGCTCCAGGGACGGGGATGCATCATCCTTGAACGACTTATCGGCACCGTGGCTAGCGCATTCCTGCACTCCACACGTCCGCACGTCCTGGAAGAACGAATCTGTGGCGCGTGGAGTGGGTGCGCTGGGCACCTATACTTTAAACGGGGCGTGGAGGTCAAGGGGGAGCACGTTTTACTTCCTCCACCCTCTCTCTGACCTGCCGATTCTCTGTCTGTGATTAACGGTTCCTCTAATCGAAGGCGCCGTGCTAAGACGGTGCCGACGAACAACGGTCCGGTCACGCCCGGGAGCTGTTGCCGCTCCGAATTTCGAGAGGGTGCGCGGTGGTCCAGTTCCGGATGCGCAAGCAAGGCGCCCAGTCTTCTCCAGAAGTACGCGATAGTTGATCCCGGCTCCAGAGGCAAACGAAGAGAATGGATAGCGTCTCCCAGAGCGCTTGCCTCTTGCGCAAGAGATAAACACTGGACGAAGTGTGCTCGCCTTCAGCAACAACCTTACGCGCATTACAGAGGTCACTTGCGAGACACGAATCACTCTATAAAAGAAAGACGTCACGCCCTAGCTCGATAGGATAGGGCCTCCTCTTGGAGGTGAAGGACTGACCGCTCAGCTTGAGAATGTGTCCATTCGTCAGCGAGGTTTACATGCACGTATAAGACGTGGGAAACTGTGCACGGTGTTCAGAAAAAGAGCACTTGTGCTTGAACATCTTCGTAAGACATGCCAGCTAATCGTGATGCTCAGAATCGAGCAAGCAGTCAGCTAATGGCAAACATTACTTTCACTAGGGTTGATTGCGGCACATCCACATTGCCCCGCCGCGGTGGTCTAGTGGCTAATGTACTCGGCTCCTGACCCGCAGGTTGCAGGTATCGAATCCCGACTGGGGCAGCTGCATTTCCGATGGAGGCGGAAATGTTGTAGGCCCGTGTGGTTCAGCTTTGGGTGCACGTTAAAGAACCCAAGGTGGTTGAAATTTCCGGAGCCCTCCACTACGGCGTCTCTCATAATCATATGGTGGTTTTGGGTCGTTAAACCCGACATATCAATCAATCATCAATCAATGCGGCACATCCACTTGCACCCGGCACCTCCTAACTGCGTGACAGTTTAAAAATGGATATTTTTGCCCCATCTTGAAACTGTCATGGCCACCGTTATATAATACACGTATACTTTTGCCCGTAGTACCCACGAATATATAAGTAGGATATAAAGAAGTGACGCCGAAGCTGTTCCGAGTATATAGCTCTGTTAAGTGCGACGTTCCCTCGGTGATGTATACTGTTGTGACGTTGGTTGCTGTGATGGTCATGGAGCTCTGCTTTTTTTCTGCAGCTGTCGGGATGCGCGGTGCTGGGCGTGGGTGTGTGGACGCTGGTGGCCAAGCGGCACCACCTGAGTCTGCTCACAACGGTCACATACGCCTCGACGGCCTACATGCTCCTCCTGGCTGGAGCACTAGTCATCCTCGTCACGGCGCTCGGTTGCGTGGCCGTCTGCCGCCTGCATCGGTGCTTCCTCCTGGCCGTAAGTGTTCTCCTCACTTTTTTTTTCTCGTCAATATCAACGTATATGTTCGATTAAAACTTGCGTTGGGGCTAGTTGGACTCCCGTACTCGTGCCTAAAATACAACGCTCAGTGTTGGATCAATAGCGCGCAGTTTTCGTTCCCGTGCGTTGTTTCGAATTTGTAGCGCTACCTGTAGAGATGATACTCTTTCTTGGAATACTTGAACGCAGAAATTTCGGTCTCTCTGTCTGTCGCCCGTTACAGCCACCCGGCCAAAGTTTAGGCACTTGCTGAACGCCCAGTCATCCGTTCATACTTGTGAACATTGTCGATCAAAAAGCAAATAATACGCATATCAGACGGGCAACATCAATACGTATTAAGTGTGTTCCTTTACTAAAAATACGTAGATACGTAATTCTATAAGCCCTAGTGCGCTTTAGGCCGGTCGCGCTGAAAAAGCGACGCCATGCACGAAAGAATGCCGGCAGAACACTATCGTCGTTCGACTACATTTGCAGCGAAGCACGGAGACACAGGGCGAACCTTTTAATGTTACTTTTGAAAAACACCCGAACCACCTCTGTTGCGACTTACCCTTACTGTACGTGAGTAGCTTGGCTATTGGCAGAATCTCGCGAGAAATTGTTTTGCTGGCTGCAGCATCTCGTTTAAGTCGTGCAATGACGAGGCAGAATACTTCTTCACGTAGCAGCCACTTACGTAAAGGGAGTTCTTCATGAAAAGGCATTCCTTTCACTTTTTATTTAATAATATCGGGCTGACACGTAATCTTTGAGAATCGGCGTATTTGATTCCCGTCGGTATTTAGCAGATGTCAATGTGCTCAAATAAATGGTAAGTTGGGCGAGCTAGCAATGATTCATAATGTATAACTGCACAAAAAATGTTTTGCCTTCTCTTGCTTTTTATTCTGTCCTTTGTATTGCGTTGCTCTTGCGATAAAGCTTCAGTTGATTGTCTACGCGTGCTTGTGTTTCTCTTCTTTCGTGTTCCCGTCCGTTTTTCGCGCAGTTACGTTATGGGTAAATGTGATTGCTTGCCCAGTTCCGCCTGCAGAGCTTGTGAGACCTTCAGAATGTACACCGCGCGCTCTGACATAATCGTCACGTGCTCAGATTTCGCATTAATTCAGTCGCGTTGCGCGGTGCTCTTCCCACGTTCTTTTCTTCGGTTTTGCAGCCTCTTGTATGTGTTGGTCCGAATCTATAGGAGTTACAAAGAGAGAGAGAGAGAGAGAGAGAAACCTTGCCTGCTTCTTCTCTATTAGTGTTTATCTGTGTAGATCGCGCACGTCTGGAATAGATGGAAACTTAGTTGAACAACCGTGCAAGAGCAAAGCCTTCGGAACGAAGCCAAAGATCTGTAGCATGGCTTCCTGCTATTACTTGTCCGGCGTGTGCCATTGAGCGAGCCATACGTCAAACATGTGGATCGCGAGTACAAAATGTAGATAGAACATCGACATGTTCACGATCACTTCCAACGAGCTGTTAGTATGCACTGACTCATTGTAAATTCAGAGTAGAATGTTCACACATGATATGCTACAAGCTCTGCGTCGTCAATTTTCCTTGCAGTACACGTTCCTGCTCCTGTTGATCTTCCTGATGGAAGCCGTTGCGGGGATCATTGCGTACGTCTACGAAGAACAGGTGATGAAAAAAGTCTTTCTTCAGAAGCAAGTCTATAGTGTATGGATGAAACGAAAGACGGTTTGCTCGAGGGCTTGCTTTTCTTGTTAGAGACAACCTGATATGAAACCAACAAGTTTTCCTTGTTAGCCATGTGGTAACAGGCAAGACAGACGGCGATGTCGTGAGGCCAGAAATCATATATTTCGTCTGAAGTCGCTTAGTCAGGCGGGCCTTGGTGACACGGTCGGTACCGTGGGAGAGGCCAGTGTGCCTGGGATACGGATTCTTGTGGGCCAATTTAGCGCGCCACAGACAGTACCCGTCGGTTTCATTAGATTCTGTATATAGAGGGAGTTATCTAATGATAGCAGCGGTATCTTACTGTATATGTACTGAAGTCATGGTTTCTCAATGTGTGTTTTGCAGGCCCCTCCTCGGGGTTCCGCGCGTGCCTCTGATAAGCTCGTAAAGTCACTTCAGACGGCGAACCCGAGATGCGGTCTATTTAGGAAACATAACTATATTTATGTTTAATTTATAATTGCATGCATTTTTATAACTGCTACAGTTGTTTAGAATCGCCTGTTTCAATTGTTTGTAATTACAATATGTAATTGCCCTATGTTGTAATAGCTTTTTTTGCCATATGCTTTAAATTTTAGCTCTGTCACATTCTTGTGTCTACACCTTTTTTCAGCGACCATTGGTACTGATGTGCTCTGTATTGGCTGCATTTCTGAAGGGTGTTGTATATGGAGTTTGTCCAATCATACGTCCCACAAACTATATGTACCCCCCCCCCCCCTATATGTAATGCCCTGTTCAGGGGCCTTAAGGGTTAATAAATGCTGATGATCGATTAACCCCCACTGTATAGTGTCAGCAACCACATTTCAATGCATAGCAGAAACGTGTGAGCTGCGCAGTGAATCCCTGCCAGCAGCTTGTAGCAAGCTAGACCTCAAATAGAAAACAAGCCACGAGGTCAAGCTACTTCACTTGAACGTCGCAGGCCTAATAATACCCACATGCGCATTTCCCCTGTTTGAAGATAAGTCGGTGGATACGATGCTGCCACTCGCAAAAAATATACGCTTGAGAGCAGGGATATCTCAACACTAGCTTGCGAAAAACAAGTGCAGTGATCAGCAGAATGTAGGAGCCGACAGTGGCTGGCCCAGATGGATCGAGCGTAATTGAACCTCGCATGGATTTGTCTAAAGTGCGTTCACTTTCATGGCAGTGAACAAATGTTTACATATGTTTGCTTTTGAATTTATTGCATGTGTGAGAGAGAAATATAAAGGAAAAACCGGAAGGTTAACTCGAAGAAGGCTCCGGTTTGCTACTCTGTGCTTGGGAAAGGGGTGTAAATGAGTGAAAGACAAGAATAAGAGCTGATGACAGTAAGGAAAAAGATGATGTGGCTGGAGCACTATGCGAGCACTATAGAAAGTAATGCTGTACTCGAAAATGCATGCGAGTGTAACGTGAACCAAATGGAATGAGGTGGAGTTAGTTTCTTTGAGCTTAGCGAGGTTATCTGAGATTAACATGCTTGAGAACCCCTGATAAGTAACTGTTAATAATGTTATGTGGAGTTCGAGGTCCCAAAACCACCATCATATGAATATGGGAGACGCCGTAGAGGAGGGCTCCTCAATTTTCGACCACCTGGGGTTCTTTAATGGGCACCCAAATCCGAGCACACAGGCCTACAGCATTTTCGCCTCCATCGAAAATGCAGCCGCCGCCGCCGGGATTCGATCCCGCGACCTACGGGTTAGCAGCCGAGTACCTTAGCCACTAGACCACCGCGGCGAGGAAGATAAGTAACTGTTTATGTCCCTCAATAACTAAAACCGTCGCTGCAAATTACGTGCTTGTAAAGAATTTATAAAATGAAACTGCATACTGAATGTATGAGTACTCTCCTTTTTTTACCTTAGTCCACAAACATGCAAACGTGAACGTAGTTACATTTGCACACTTACCACAGCAGTAAAAGCGAATTCCACATAAGCAAATCAAAATAGTGAAAGCTTTAGAAATTGTGAAATCTGCACGTATGCTTAAAGTCGACACTGAGGCTGTTTTTCTTAATGTCTAAATGTGTTTGTTCATGACTGTTTCAGGTGTGGAACGAATTGGCTGATGGACTGAACACAACTTTCGTCGAGAGCTACGGCACTGACGCAAGCAGAACAGAGGCGATCAACGACTTGCAGCGCAGTGTACGTACACCCTGCGTAGCCAACTTGAAGCCATGCGCTTGATGGCAAACATATGAAAACATGAAGGAAAAAGCTGAAACAACACCATATGCGGGACAACACAACAGACATATTTAAGTTTTCACAATTGCAGGAAAGCTTCGACGTTGTGCTGTCCCACTGATGGCAAATGCACTATTTGCACAGAGTAGGGTTCAAGGGCACTGATCTGAACTGCTCGCATGCTCGCACGTACACATTATAAGCGCACAAGCTTTCACGCTGAACTGTTGTGTGCATTGCGTACGCTGCGGAACAGAAACAAGACGAGCGCCTCTCGACTTGTCTCTGTTTTGTGGTGTCACAATTTGCGTGTTTTCTTTCAAGATACTTCACTGACTAGCCCATCCAGAAGTACCGATGTGTGTACGCGTGGCTAATTTGGTCTGAGAAATCGGCGTTGTACCAGCGCGTCATTAATTACTTCACTGCACGCTAATACCGACGCTCTTCTGTCTGTCTCATCTTCTACAAACCGTGGTGTGGCGCTTACAAATGCCGCTATGTAATTATCTGTACAGTTGAAGTTGTATATTTCACACAACCATATGTTTGCTTTGCATACCTATAGTCATTGCCTACTTTCTGAACATCCCTTCCCAACCCTCTATCTCTTTGCCTCCTTCTTTTAAAGAGAGATAAAAGGTTTTCATTTATGCATACAGTCATACTGCAAGCATGAAGAGTGAGCAATATATTTATGTAAAAACACATGAAAATGGCCAAGATGGTACAGTTCTTAGTCGGAACATATTTTTATCATATCATCATATCTAAGGGAAACAAACGCGATTTATTTTTTATGATGTTTAGAGGTATGTTGGCTTCATTGCCTCATGATTAGTAGTTTGGGCATTCACTCTATCTCTCTCTATGTTTAGTTCAAGTGCTGCGGTGCCAATGGTTTCGACGACTGGAAGCACAGCATGTGGCTTCGCAAGAACTCTCGTACCAACAACAAGGTTCCAGACTCTTGCTGCAAGACCATAGGGATTGGCTGTGGCAAGTTGGCCCACCCCTCAAACATCTACTACGATGTGAGCACCACTTTAAGGAAGCACTATCTGAGCATGACAAACGCACTGAGTTCCAATGCAGTTCACTTCGAACGTACCAAACAGGAAGGGAATCACACAATAATCTGTTATACTGGCAATTAAATCCAGTAGTAGGCTTTACTTCATGGCTGCTCACCATACTAATGTTATGCTTCACTGCATAATGTGGCTGTCCTGCAGTAAAGTTAGCAAAGCATAAATGCAGTGGCGTAGTCAGAATTTCTTTCCAGGGGGCACCCCCCCCCCCGCCCCTTGATATGGCCCTTTTCTCCTCTCTATGCCATATTGAAAAAAAATATTACGAGTGGAAGGGGGGGGCACGGGCCTGATGTGTCCCTCCCCCCTGATTATGCCACTGTATATATGGTAGAGTGCCTTGAGCTGTTGATATCTTGAGCTGCATAGAGTTTTCTCTGATGTTATGTAACCACTTCCAGATTCAATACCGTACTAGGCACGCTTTTTAAAATTGTGCTGTTGATATATTGAGTCACTTAAATACTCTTCGGAGAAAGGCCAAATGTAGGAGTGCAGCATGGCATTCGGTACACCAGAAGTGGCGGTGAATGTTTTCAATAAATGGATGCTACGCTTCCCTATTGCCCCGCCGCTGTGGTCTAGTGGCTAAGGTACTCGGTTGCTGACCCGCAGGTCGCGGGATCGAATATCGGCTGTGCCCGCTGCATTTCCGATGGAGGCGAAAATTCTGTAGGCCCGTGTGCTCAGATTTGGGTGCACGTTAAAGATCCCAAGGTGGTCGAAATTTCCGGAGCCCTCCACTACGACGTCTCTCATAATCATATGGTGGTTTTGAGATGTTAAACCCCACATATAAATCAATCGCGCTTCCCTATTGAATATTCACAATGACATCTCAATCATTCGATACGTCCAGGCTCCTCTACCTGATGCCAATTTATTCACTAAGTTATGACACTACCAGCATATGCACAAGTGCTGTTATGGCTTCAAATAATGGAAAATCTACAACACACACACACACACACACACACACACACACACACACACACACACACACGCGCGCACACGCACACGCACACACGCACACGCACACGCACACACGCACGCACGCACACACGCACGCACGCACACACGCACGCACGCACGCACGCACGCACACACGCACACACGCACACACAAAGAATATTTACAGTTTTAAGGTACTCCAAAAACCTCACTCTTTAAGTTTAATAAATATAAAATGTTGCTGCTGGCATGCATTTAAAGCAATTACTTGAAAAGTGAAAGTTCTGTGCACACCACCAATTCATGATGTGACCTCGGCGACCAGCAGTGACATTAGATATTCACGTCAAGATACAGTGTGCACAAACATGGACACAAGAGAGAAGTCAAGGCAGCACAACTGGTGGTATTTGTGCTGTGTTGACTTCTGTCTTGCTTGCATATTTGCACACCCTGTCTGTTAAACGCAACTACCTACCAATTAGCTCAGCTCTATATTTTTTTGAACTCCTAACATGCATCTTGTCGGACATAAGTAAAGTTTTGCACCCACCCACCCATTAAGCATTACCTTCCATGCATACAGTTATTAGTGTGTTACATAATCCACCCACCTGGAAAATAGAGTGAGCATTATTGAACACAGATGATTAGGGTTATTAGACAACAGCAAGTCTGGCTTGCCTCCTGACTTGACTGTACATAAAAAGTTACAAAGTTGGCAAATACTTTTTATAGTTTTGCAAGTTTATTCGGGTAAGTGGTAGTACCAAGACTCAGGTAAAATGGACAAACTAGAACCAATTATAAAATGCCAATGTGGTTCTTCAAATAGCACGAAGCTGTGAAGAAGACAATATTAATACATGCTGGAGTCTCAAGATGCTACTCGATAAAAAAAAAGTGCTTTAATTTATGGCATAGGGCAGCAAAGTTTTAATGCGATAGCAATACAGAGCTCGCATTGCACGAATTTTGGGGTCGGCATTGTTGGTTGTGAGTGAGAAATCATCATCTTATGCATGATCTCAAAATTAAGAACGATGCAAAGAAAATAATAATTAAAAAATCCTGGATCGGAATGGGGATCGGACCTCGGTCGCATGCATGGCAAGCGGATGTTCTAGCTCACAGCCATGCATCTGCTTGTGAATACAGTGAAAAGAACTTCGTCTGCTTGGAAATGCAGTGAAGGTAACTTTAATACTTTACAAACAGATGCGTCCTGTATACACGCATCACAATACAATATGAACTATTGCAGTAATAATGTGCGAGCTCCATTTGCCATGAGTCCTCAGAACATAAGGTTATTATAATGGTTTCTTGGTTTAAAGCCGGTCGCTCACTATAAAAGCACATACCTACTCTATTGTGCGGATTCTCTTAAGGCCACATAGTGGGTGCATAGCTAGTTCCGAAAAGGTTTCATGCATCAAGTGTTTGAAGTACACACTAGGAACAGGATATCACTTTCACAGTTCATCTTTTAAAGGCAAGGCTTTAGGGTCTCCTAATTTTTCGATCCGAACGTAGGTTTTTATGCTAATTTCAAATATGTAATCAGCTTTATATTAAGTTGCATAGTTCTTGTTTTGTACCGTGATAATGTGTAAAATATAGCTCTTTTTGGATGCACTTTTCCTGTAAGTAACCTCTCGTAGTTATGAGTCATTAATTAGCTCATACAGGCTCCACATTAACTGTAGAATGAAAATAACTAATAAAAAAGTGTGTATGAGACATTTTAATGAAAAGAAAAATTGTAATATGAAAAGTCCTGAATCGCTTAGCCTATACTACTTGCTTAGTTCAAGTTCATAGTAATTATAGAGGTGACGTCAAACTTTAAATGAGATAACTGGACTCGCCACAAGTTAAGAAAAAAATTGAGAAAAAAATGTCATCCCGATCTGGTCATCAGAAGTACCAAAAACATAATGTCCAAACTCGAGATGTCTCCCATAACTGCGTCTTGAGAAAAAGGAATTATAAATGTAGGAATGAAAGGTCACCTGTGTTGCAAAGGTAGCTTCTTGAAATGATTTTGTCTTAAATGAGAGTTTGGGAATCATGATTATCTAAAGCGTGTGGCTTTGGTGACCTCCTCATGCAAAATGCAATGGCAAGCAGCCAGGTGAAAATTTCCAGGGGACTCTGAAAAGTGAGCTCTTTTGAGTTTTTATTAGCCACCTTGTACTCTTGAAAAGTTATTTCAACCGACTTCAAGCTTAATTACAACCCTGATTTATTTGTCATGGAATTATAGAAACTAAACTTGTGGAAGCAAGTGAAAACAAAAATATGTAATTTAGGAAAAAACTTGCTTTTTTTCTAGTACTATGTAGCATCTCCCCTTATGCATCGGAACCCCAGTATGAATGTGAGGCAGGCCGTTATGACATACTCTGAATTTATCTAAATACATAGTTGTTCTTTGAACCCCCCTCTCTTATTGAAATGAGACTGAAGTGACTGGGAATCGAACCTACACCCTTGAGCTGAGCAATGCAGTAATTAGCGTGCTAAGCTACCAAGGTGGGTGAAGCAGAGACAGAAGGCATTATATACGAAATGCTAACTTCTGAAAAATACTTAATGAAAAAAAAAAGAGAAGTAAAAATATGGTCTGTGCAAGCTATATTATTCAGCAGGCTTTAAAAAAAGGCAAAAAGCTGTTTGATCGTCCTTCGTTAATAACGCCAAATACATGTTGGTCAGGGTCAAGTTCAAAAGCAAATGGCAGTTTTGATTTTATGACATTCAATTAGTTTGATGAAAGTAATTCTCTAACCTTTTAACTATGATGATTGCCTATGAACCTCAGAAAGTATGACTGGTGGGGTATTTAGCTAGTCATTACAAAATCAATATTTGCAGTGCTAATAGCACATTTCTTAGGACATACGAATTCACACAAACACGACTGACCGTGTGCATGTGTTGTCATACTTATCTGTGTCGAGATCTGCACAGTCTTTGAAATGATAAAGCAATATGGATTTGTATGCAGAGATGCTGATACTTGAGAATTCACCCCTTATGCTTCATGTTTGTTTATGCCTAGCAACAATCGTAGTGTCAGGCTTGTTTTTGTGGTTGTCACTATTACCTCACATATGAACTGAAAACAATGATAGCTCCTTTAGTGGAAAAGAGTTTTTCAAGTGCTTTATTTGCTGTGCAGTACTACACATTGAAAAAATTATCTCTGAGATTTTATGTGCCAAAGCTAAAATACAGGGGCGTACAAATATTCTAAAATTTTAAATAATGAATTGAATAGCATTCTATTGGAAGCAGTTCTCAAATTGAAATAGGCAAATATCCAGAATGCCAAATATATTTCGAACGTGTTTAGAATAATTAGCTACGACGAAGAATTCTCAATTAATGAACAAGACAGTCAGACAGCGACGGGTAACTTGTCTTATCACTGAATTGCCAAGATGCATGAAGCTCACATCATAAAACCACCACGTGACATGACGTCAATGCACTACCATAATATTCATGATAATGTCAACTCATCGAACTCCCTTAGTATTTATGTATCAGTTTTCTTTGAGAGCTGTTGACAAAGTACCACCGTGAACACTGTAGAGAGCTGCTCTATTTAGCCTGCAGTTAAAAATAAGTCAAAGACTAATTCCAGCTTCATATTGGCTCACTGTAGTTTAAATAATTGTGACACTGTTTGTCTTTAACAATTATGATAATGTTTCTTGGTTAAGACATGCGAACATTTCTTTTAAAAAAAATCACACCATATCCACGGTGTGAATGATGATAAGTGGGCAAAGCTCCTGAGGAGAAATTATCGGTAAAACCGTGACTCTTTAGTGAAATTTTGCCCACTACACCATCAAGCAAGATGCAAGAAACACTGTGTGTGTACAAATCAATTTTTATTTGTTTTTACACGATGAATGGCTTATGATGTTTCTTTATGATGGCTTTATGGTTCAGGAAATGAAGGGAGAGCAGTTCCT